TGGCTTTATTAAAACTTGCTAATTACTTCTTTTTTCTTTTTCTTTTTTTCTTCTTTTCTTTTCTTGCAAAGCGTTGTTTAGATCATGTTTCTGGCAGTCATACTCTTCAAGTTATGTTGCTGGCTTTTTTTGCTGGAAAAGGTCTGTGTGACCAATAGCCCATGTGGTCTTTTCAGTGTCATCAGGACCATCATCTTGCTTTCTTGCTATCCAAGACCCTTTTCCTCCCATTGGATCTCAAAGATAAAGCGCAAAGCCAACACGTAAACATATCATAGGTTTGGATTTGGCTTCGCTGACCCATCTGCAGTGACATCCTCTACTTTCTAGTTCATTCTCAGCAGTTACGTATGTCTGAGTGCTTTTTCTCTAGCACTTCTTCACTTGAATTCATTTCTCCTGCTTGAGATTTCTTCTGGAATATAATTAGGTGGTGCACCATTGTGTTGATGGCCTGATGCTGCCAAGGGGAATCTTCCAACCCATGGCAGCAAGTACCTCTGTGGCATTTGTTAGGTTTTTACGAGACTTCTGTGTGAACTGTAGTAGGGCAGCCTGCAGGGCACGCTCAAAATTTCGATGTGATCAGGATGTGGATGCAGTCAAGGCTGCCCAAGTCCTCTTAGCTCTGACCCCTGAGACAATCGGGATACTCTGTGGAGGCAGCTGTTCCTTTGTTCCTGTGACATAGACCTGGATGTTGAAGGGAAATCAGTGAATTTAATTGGAAAGGGATAGGAAGGAGCAGAGTCAGAGACAGCTGGTAAGAAACTCTGCTTCACTAGGTACTGGGAGAAGGGACTAAATTACTGAAGATATGGTCTGAGGGACAGAGGAGTAAACTTTAAAGAAGGTGTTAAAGACTCTCTGTTCTCCTTTCCCGTGCTGTCGTCACTTCTCCATCATGTGGGGCTGATTGCTGTGCTTTCTCCTGTGGCTAGGATGCCCAAAGCAGATACCACGTGGGCGTTTGCTATGAGAAAGGCCTTGGAGTGCAGCAGAACCTGGCAGAAGCGATGAGACACTACCGACAGTCAGCTGCTGCGGGGAACAGGAACGCTCGGGAGAGACTGCAAGTGTTAGAAGAGGAGGTGGAAGGTACCCTGGGCAGCGGGGGAAGAGGGTGTGCGGGACTGCATGGGGTAGTGACCCCATAAAAGCAGGGCCCGTATTGCCAGAGGAAAGGTAGCATAGGGCCATGGCAAAAAGGAGTCCTTTTTACTGAAGGGAAGGGAGCACTTTTCCTTTCCAGTTCTTTCCACTTCTTACCAGCTATTTCCAGTCAAACTGAAGTGGAGACGCTATTCCCATAGTGTGATGTGTCATTAATATCTTGTTTTAATGTACTTTCAGATGTGCAAACAAAGCATCTATTCCCTTCTGGAATAAGAGCCTCTTCCTCTAGCCCCTGTTTCTGGGCTATCGAGCATGTGCCTGCAGGCCTCCACGTCACCCAGCCAAGACAATCTGCCCTAACCCTGCCCCACTCTTGGAGTGCAGACGGACTCCACATGATGATGCTTGGTGGTGCAGGATGGAGCCGTGCCCTCGGAAACAGGGCAACGCCACTGGAACTGCAGTGCTTGGAGCCCCACCACTGCTGTTATTAGAGCCATCGGTAAGTGTAACAAGCAGGCAGAAGGGAAGGCAGCCCTTCTTAGTCTGTGTGGAGCTGGAAGCAAGCTAGCAGTGAGTGGAAGGAGAAAGCTTTCCATTAATAGAATGGGAGTCATTTTTAAAGACCAGGGTTTTGAGAATAAACTTTGTGATTTCTCTTACAATAGCATGTCATCTCTACCTTCCAATACAAGGACGGTTCTTATGCTCCTACATTTCTGTATAGAGCTAAGTATAGACTCCCACCCTGCCGCAGTGATATGATTTGGGGCTATAATTCCAGTAGCCCTGTGTATCTTGCACGTGGTCCCCCAGTGAGGTTTACAAGCCACCATATGGTGATGTTGGCAGCTAATTCTGTGATGGGCCTGGCCTGCACCCTCTGAGGCAATTTGATCTCACTTCAAGGCTAGCTGTTGCCACAGTGGCTCTGCTACCAGCACAATCTGGCCTTGTCTCTACGTTGCCATTGTGGCAGTTTAATCTGCTTTCAAACCTGTACAAGCAAGATAGTGAATTCTGATTATTAAGGCACAGGTTTTTGTGGAATATGGCTTATGGGTGCACCTGTATTGGTGAGAGTAATGACCGTCCTCAGCCATCCTGCACTGTTGTCAGTGTCCTTCGGTCCCCAGTGATTATTCCTTCAGCTCTGGCAGTGAGCTGCTCCCATGGGTACACCCCTTTGAGTCACGATGAGCAAAGTTTGCTTCAAAATCTATATTGTACGTGTTTGCTAAGCACACCAGCTCATTTTCACTGAATTGGATGAGGGATGCTCCCAGCGGGCAGTAACCACCGTCAGGCAGACAGCGGCAAGCAGCTGGTATGATAATTTCTTCCACTGGGGCAGCGGAATCTGGAAAAAGACATTTGTCCACACCAGTTTAAACTGGTTCAAGGGCATCTGTACAAACTGTCCAGCTTCCTGTAGCCGTGGTGCTCTGGTGCTTTGTCTAGATCAGGCTCTGTAAAACAAAAGGCAGTGGCCCCATCCTGAACTTGCCATGGTCTCCATTCAGCAAGGGAGGGGCACAGCCAGAGCTTAACACGTCTGATTGTTCTTCTAGTCTGGTCTGTCTTTCTGCTCAGACCAAACTTTCTTAGACCATTTCCTTTATCAAGCAGGATACAATTAGCAGGAAATTCCTTGGCTGGATTTCCTATTCTGTGATAATTCACGGCATGCTTACATACTGGTCAGGACAGGATGGGGGTAAGGGTTGGGGGGGTTGAAAGCAGTTTGCAGAATCAGGAAATTAAACCTAGAGAGGAATTTGTCTCCTTTTAAATCTGCTTATTATAATGTGTTTTTCTGTAAAGATTGTCCTTTGACAGGTACATCAAAGTAACTTTCCAGAGGAAGACGTGAGGTTGTGCCACGCGTTTGTCCTCTGTGTGTGTTCCCAAGATGCAGAGGAATCCCATAGGGCTGCATCTCCTCACAGTCACAGATATGCCTCCCTCATAGTTTGCACAGCTGCAGCTCAGTTAGAATTTGGCTCACCGTCATTGTTTTGGTGCAAGAGCCTGTTTTGTTTGTGAAAGAAAACAGCAAGGTATTTCTGTTAGCAGTGCGGCAGTATAAGCAGGCTAGGGCAAACCCATCAGTGCGGTTTATTGCCAGAGATTGGGTCATCTGTAAAGTACTTTGGAGCCTCCAAATACAGCAGTGGATATTTTGGATATTAAAGAGTCTACCTGGGGAAATCTTACTCTGTTGCTTTTGTCATTTGGTCCCAAGAGCAACAGAAAGGGATAATTTTCTCATTTATTCTGCTTTAAATTATCTGTGTGATTGTCTGCTGCCATGGCTTGTGTATACACACACACTAAAAGCAGGAACTGTCCCTTCTAGGTGCATGGAAAAGGAACGCAGGTAGGACACTCTTGAGATGCTCGAGGATCACGTCTGCTGGGTTGTGCTGCCTGTGCTTTTTCAACTTGACAGTAAAATGAAAGCAAAAAATACCACCCAAAGACACCTGATGCAACAGCCCCACCATGAGTAAATTAGCTTTGGCGAAACCTGTCTGGTGAACTGCAGTATCTGGGGAGAAGTCAGTGCAGTACTTTTGATGTAAAGATGGTGAAGGAAAGCAAGCAGTGTGTATAAAGCACTGCTGGCCCTGCACTGTGATGGAGGGGAGGCTGGCAGTCTCTTCTCAGCCTCCCTTTTGTAGTCACTCACTCAGCAATAACGTTGTGCATTGCTAGCAGCGGAGGTGATGGCTTACCCTCATTCCCTTAGCTTGACTCTCCTCTCACCTATACAGCCACTTTGCCAGCATGCCCCAAATTTGTTCTGCTGTTTTGGAAGGCACAAACTATGGTACAGAAGAGAGTTCTATGTGTGCACGATCCAGAAATGCTTACCTGCCATCCATGCACCACTGCATAAGCCTGCAGATGCACTCCAGACGCTTATGCCACTGTTGTCTTTCCATTCTCTGGGAGTGCAAATCCCCATGGTTAACAACTCCTGTGTGCTTCTTCCTTTGTTACTAATATCTGTATCTTCATTTTCCTACACATGCTATTATCCTAAAAACTGTCTTATAGCTCACATATATACAGATCAAAGTGAAAACCTGTAATACAGTTGAAGCTTGTGACTGAATATTTCAAAACAGTGTTTTCACGCTTCCGTTTTCCCAGGTTACCTTTGGCAGACTCCAGCCATCTGTTGTCTGCTTCTGGGCAAGGATTACGCTCCAAAATCCAATGGTCTCAAAAGAGAGCATGGAGAAAGAAATTGTGGGTACCTAGTGCAGCCGTAGGAGAGATGCCAGTGCTGATTTTGGGGCATTTTACAAAATGCCAAGTTCACAGTGGTAGAACCACAAAAGCTGAAAGGATCAGTGGGAGAAAACAGGCAGATCTCCCCTTTCTGAGTTGCCATTTCAGGCTTTCTGCAGATACATCATTATGTCAGCTATACTGCATCTTGTTCCAGAGATGGTAATGTTAGAAAAAAACAATTTTATTTAAATAAGAGCTGAGATCCTGGAGCCCAATTCCGCAGCACGTTGCAAAGTCCATGACTGCAATATTTTATCATCCATGGTGCACAGTCTATGATCACGTGGATATAGCTGACTGTTGTGCTTGTGGTTAATCTAACAACCCCCATCCCCTCAATCGGCCTGCCCTGGGAGGAGAGAGCCCTCCTGCTGTGGTCTGACATGGGTGTGATAGTAAGGTGGAAGTGGAGGAAAGCTAGGAAGGCAAGAACAGGCAGGTAGAAGGGAACTAAACAAGGTGAAATCAGTCATGGAGAAATTTGATGGGGTGAGGCAAAGGAAGAAATATGCCTGTTGTGATCAGTCTAGCCATGGATAATACAGTGACCCTGTTAAAGCACACGTGTGCACCCCAAATGCAGAAAGAAGCTGTATGTGACTCTTATCTCCTTATCACAGCCGCCAAGCTGCCTACAGAACAGGAGCACTGTCTTCCAGCCCAAGGCTCTTCCCATGTGCCGACAGCTGCCGCAGAAGCCCCGAGCCTGTTTCATTGTGGACTTGGACCTTCTGGGACAAAATCATTTCAAAGAGGGTACTCATTTCTGAAAGGAAAGTGCTGGCCAGTCTTGTCCCAGCGGCATTCGAGTCAGCCCCAGCACCTTTGCCAAAGGTCTCAAAGGTCCTCGGTTTCTCCTGCCTGGCAGCTTCGTCATCCTGAGGTGACTGCAGAGAGTCAGGGGAGAAGACGTTGTCCTTGTAACTACTGGTGAGCGGCAAGGAGAGCCGAGCCACCCATGCTGGATCAGCAGCCGTCAGCCTCTTGAGGGCCAGCTCTGGAAGGAGTGAAAAAAAAGAACTGTTGGTGAGACGTGGAGTAGAGGAGACCACAGGAGAGAAGGCGGGGTGAGGGGGAGAAAAAAAATATTGAGAAACAAGGAGACTTCCTGAAATCAACTGTGAGAGGACTGATTGTAAACAGGCTTAGAGATAAGCCACCAGCAGCATCATTCAAACAAGCAGCTTAAAAAAAACCAAACAAAGTAGAACTGGTTTAAAACTACTAGGGGGGGTGGTGTTTGTTTGGTTTTTAATATAACCATTAGGATCACTTTGCTTTCTCATTTGTTGCAGCCTCAAGTGGCACTTGACTAAATTGTTTGCAAAACCAAAGAAAGTGAGGGTTTAGGACTGGCTAAAGGGGATATGATAATGGAAAGCTTTCAAGGGGGAAGTACTGGGCAGAAAGAAGGTCACTAGTGGACGTCCCTCAAGGGTCACTCTGGGGTGGGAATTTGCTGCTAAGCAAGCATATTGAGACCGAAGAGAAACGGGTTATTGTAAAAACAATAATAACAGAAGTACAATGAAATTCTGGATTATAAAATGCACAGCTGGATGGTTGAAGACTAGTAACAAAAAATTGAGCTGTAAAGGAGTTGTTCATCAATTGGAAACAGATGAGGAGCAGTGGGAGCCTGGTGTGGGTGTTGGCTGCAGGCTCGTTAGTGTACCAGTGATGTGATTCTGCTCCGAAATGGGCAAATGAAATCATACAGTGTGTTGGTCAAGGTATTCCTTGTGGTATTGTTACTAGGTCTGGCGAGACCTGATTAGGAGTATTACGTACAAATCTGATTATCCATCCGTAGGAAAGCGTATCTGAAATGACAGAAGTGCAGAGAAAACTACTGAGATGAAAACGGGTGAGTCCAGGCTTACATGATGGAGACCCCAACGGGTAGGGGTTGCTTAGCCTAAGGAAGCAAATGTTCCCCTGGGATCTGACTGCAACCTGTCATTATTTTTATGAGATAAGCACCGACAAAGGAAATCTTTATGCTTAAAATAGTGTTGGCAAAAGAAGAAGTGATTATAGCTGTCCATGAATAAACATATACTGGAAATTAAAGGAAGGACCCCATAGCCGAGTGAGCCTGGAATAGCTTCCTCATCAGATGGCAGGAAAGGAAACAGGGGTTCTTGTTTTTTAAGGTAGAGTTTTGCACTTGATAAACAAGACTCCGTGATGTGGTGCACAGACGCTGCCTTCCAGCCCCACATTGCTTCATTTCCAAAGCATAACCTAGAACTGCTGGGAGGTTCAAAGCGACCGCCGGGTTTGTGGAACGCTTTGAGTCAGAGAGCAGCAAAACAAATAACTGGTGTCTGGTAACAAAACGCAACAGTCCCAACCAGATGCCAAGAGCTGGTGTCTTTATAACAATGATGTGGCTCTGACTTACAAGTGACTTGTGAAAGGAGGGTCCCCATTCTAATGCACTTACCGTGCTGCTTCCAGAAGATAATCGATACCCTGCAACAGCCTGGGACACGCGGTCCTCAGTCAGTGGCTAGTCAATCACTGAGACAAGTCTCCTTCCTCAGCCAACTACGTAATTAGTCCTCTTTCTCTCAAAAACAGCTGTGTCTGGGGGTGGGATGGGGGTGAGAGCTGGGATTCTAAGCTGGTAAGGAGAGAAGGGCAGATACATCACTTAGATTTTGTTTCAGCTGAAGCCCTAAAATTCTTTTGTATTGCTTAACTTCCAGAATTTTTTTCTGCAATCTCAGTATTTTCTTTCAGTGGCAGTGACTGTTCCTTAAGAGATCTCCCAAGCGTGCTGAAGTCCCATGTTTTTGCTCTAAAACATCCACAGTTCTCTCCTCCTCAGTCTGCAAGCAGCCACTGCAAATCCTGAATATTTTTCACGCTTCAGCTCTGGAGCAGGGCACAACAGCGACCTGCTCGCTGCGGGGAGAGCCAAGACTCAGCGGGCTGATGGTCCTGTGACCATGAAACCTTATAATTAGGTGTGTTTAATTTGACCAATAACTCTTTACTACCTTATTTTAATGGTGTTTTGGGAGCAGGGGTTGTTTTTATAATCAATAAAGTTATCTCTCGCTGCTGCTGCTGCGAGCGCTCTGTTTTGCTGGTGGGGGATAGGTGTTAATAGACGGTGCTGTGTGCTGAGAGTTCAGTCGGCAACTCGATGCTTACACCATAAACAACCAGATAGCTGGCTGGGATGGATTATTTGCAGAGTTCCCCCACCCCGCTGCGAGTAGCACAAAGGCCCAGGCAGCCTCAGCCAGCTGTTAGGATACTCCCGAGCACAAGCAATGCTTCCTTCCTTGCTCTCAGGATGCAAGTCCACTTCTCTGTTTGTGTTTGGGAGAGGAGGAAGGAGTCCAGCAGCTCCATCGTCTGCGCTCTGTTGCCTTTTCGGGAAGCTCTGGGGCTCATGGTTAAGGTTTTTCATCACTGAAACAGGGCAGCCTCTTTTATCGTGTCCAGCACTACTGGGTGGGCAGGAAGCCACGCTGGCATAGCCTCAGCACGCGCCACTGGTGTTCGCTGTGAAATTCCAGTAATTTAGCAAGAAGGTTTTGTATTTTTTTTACAAATCGAAGTAGCACTTCGTGGATATGCCTCGCCATAGCACAGATTTTGGAGGCTACCTGTCTGGGCAGGGCTGGATCCAGACAGATCTGCTGAGCAGGTCCACCAGTCCCTTTACTGGGACCGGTGCATGACAGTACGCCCATGGGATGGAGGTGGGCAGCCTGTTCGCTCCCTGCTCTTGGCTGCAGGACCTTTAAATCTGAGGAAGCTTGTAGCTCTTGTTTCACCCAGCCTTTCCTTTGTTTGCTCCTTACCAGAATAAAAGGGCAGGAAGGCAGACGGAGAGAAGCAGCGTGGTTCTCCGTCTAAGCAAGAGCACAGAAAATGCTCAACTCTGGAATTGAAACGACCACAGCAGCAAACCTCAATGAGTTCCTCTTGCTATGGAGGAGCGCAGAGGCTCCACAAGGAAATTTCTGCTACAGGATGTGAGTCAGCCCAACTCTTTCAAATTGAAATGCCAGTAGAAGAGATTTTTTAGAACAAATCAATAAAAGGAACATGTAGAAAATGTCAGGCCCAGATGGTATTCACCCCGGAGTGCTAGAGGAACTCAGATACGAAATTGCTTGGTTTATTAGCTGCTGTTCGTTAACTACTGCTTCAAATGAATACAGTATCAGAAGAAGGGAAGGTAGAAATAGTGACATGAGTTTTTAAGCGCGTGAAGGTGAATCTAGTGCCGGCAGATTCATAGAAATCATTATATGTGAGATTCAGCAGATAGCCGAGTACCTGCTATTCAGACAAGAGCTGACGTGACATTTGCAAGGTGGGCAATTGTGTTTTGCAGATTTGTTGGCATCTTTGGAAGAGGTGGATGAAGAGTCCTGGCTGCCAGAGGACACCTGAGCTTGCAGAAGAGCAGCAGCCAGGCTCGCAGGGGACCTGAGCTGTCTTGGAGTTATCAGCCGGGTTCTGTTAGGGACTAATATATGTTAAAAGCTGGGAAGCGAGGGTAGGAATAAATCATCTTCCCCACAAAGGGAGATCATTAGTGGAGTCCCAGAGTATCCATTCGACATAGCGATAAATGACATGGAGAAGTGGATGGTGTTGGTGTTGTCTCCACTGAAACACCCAACGATGTAAAAGCAGAGGGTTGCGGAAGGACCTAATAATACTGAGTGCTGTGATCAAAAACTGGCTGGTGGGTTTCTGTGTCACCAACTGTTGGCTAATTGTCACGGGCAACGACACTATTGATGAGTCTCCCACCATGCAGAGAAGGGATTTAGGACTCACCATGAACAGGCTGGTAACAGAGCTCAGCATGGAGCTTGCGCAGGACAGGAATGAAGAACAAACCAGAAGACCTCTTTATACCACCCATGTAGATGTATCTTAAACGCTGCGCACAATTCTAGTCACCGCATCTCAATAAAGATATGCTAAAATTAGTAACGGGTTGGTCACAGGAGAAGAGACTGGACTAGTTCAGCATGGTAGGAAGTAGGAGCCTGATGGGGCCCAAAGGGTGTATAACATCTTGAGGGGCTTGACAAGGACAACTCTTCACCTTTCTCACCCTGTGTGGACAAGGAGACCACGAACTGAAGGGGCTCGGGTCAGCACGGGAAGCAGTTCACATGGTGCACAGTTAAACTGGACTTCACCCCCACGCCACAACAAAAGGTCGGCCTCACAAGTCAACTAAACGACAGCAGGAAAGATCTACCAAGAGTGATTAAACACATCAAAAAATCCAACGTGAAGCTCAGCAAGTCCCTTGGCTGTAAACTGCCTGGTACCAAAAGCATAGGATGGTCCATACACACTGTCCCAAGCATCTGCCACTGTCAGAGCCACCCTAGGAGATGAGATGTCCCCTGGTTTGCTGCAAACCAGCCAGTTCTATCTTCTGAATGGGGCTAGTGTGTTATTTGAGGAGATCCCGCTGCTGGAGCCCCACCACCACCAGCCCCAGTGTGCTCCCAGTAGCGAGGCCACCTCACCTGCCTGTGGCTCCAGGAGGGTCTCCAGCTCCTCTCCCACCAGCTGCTGCACCGAGAGCTCAAACCCGCTCTCCGAATCGCGGTCCTCTGCCTCGCTCTCGCCGTGCCCGCTGTCCTTCGTGCTCAGGCAGTCAGCATCCAGCCCTGCAGCCCTGCGAGGGGCCCAAAACACTCAAGTCACCCTTCAACGCTCAGCACAACCCTGCCCCACTGATTGCTTTGAAGGTGGTTGTCTTTACCCCCCCCCCAAAATGACCCAGAGGTGGGGTGTGGGCATCCTCTCAGTGCATCGTTCACAGTGCCGAAGGCATCATCATTTCAGTCCCCACCAATTAATGAGTTTTGGGTGGTTTTGTTTTTTTTTTAAAAAAAGAAACACATGAACAAAAGCACTGGGACAAGGAGTGCCACGGACCCTCTGAAAACTGGTCCCTGGCTGGGTGCTGGGCTACACATGGGGCTGCTTCACATTTCTTACCCGAGAGGGGTTTTATCCTTCTGCAGGTAGATCCTGAGCAAACAGGGAGCTGCTGGCTCTTCCCGTGAATTTGGAGGAGCTTCCCCCCTGCAGCGCCAGGCCAGGAGCATCACAGCCCAGCCCTGCCCCAGCAGCCCCATCTCCCTCTCCATGAGATGGTGATGATGATGAGAAAGCTGTGTCTGCCCATGGCCTGGGCAGGGGGGCAGAGGCAGGACACAGCAAGGAAGTGATGAAGCCCTGGCATCCTTAGGAGCATTCACCCAGAGATGTCAACAGCATAATTTAATGGGAACACCATAAAGTTTGTCTCTGGGAACATCCTGAGCACACAGCTGGAATATCTTAGTCCTTCCCATCCCTGCTAGCAGCATCTCCCTTGCTAGCCTCCTGGCCCAGCAACAGATGCCTCAAACCCATGTCAACAAGCAACAGCATCTCTAAGAAAGTACCCAAAGCCGTGTGAAAACTCATCCTTGAGCTGCTGCCTCCAAACCTGGGACCCTCCATGCCCACGAGCGCACCTTTCCATCAAACACATCGGTCTTCCCCTAGCAAGGACAGGGAGATGGTTCGTGGCCATGGCGGAGCTCAGGTGAGTATGGAAGGAGCTGCCAAAGGTACCCCAGGAAGGAGGCAAAGAGCAGCCCTAGGAGGGCACTGGATACCAACGGGGAGCAGAGCCGTCCCCTGAAGGGAGGACCTACCTCCCCAACCTCAGGTCAGCAAAACCAGGGATGAGGTTTTGCCTTGTGTGTCTGCTGCCCTTGGAGGCTCTTGCGGCCGGTGGGACTGAAGCAGAGGCAGCAGTGACGCAGCGGACCGTGAGGAAGGGAAGGGCTGAGAGCCAGCCTTACCTGCTGCCATTCTTGGCTGTGTACTTGTTTCCCCTGTGGTTTGTTTTGGGCTGGAACTGGCCCTGGTGCAGCAGAGAGAGCAGCTGGGAGATTTGCTGTAAGGCAGGAAAAGCCTGTTGAGCCCCGGCGATCGCCACTCAAGCTGCTTCCTGCCAGGACGTCCCCTCCGAACCCCCCGGCCTTTTTATAGCATTTCCTCCTCCTGCAGATGGTTCAGCATCCCCACACAGGGGGAAAAACAAGCGGCCAGGCAGCCCACCTGGCCCCAGCGCTTCCCCTGCACCATCTCTGCTACCCCCTGGGGAAGCGAGCGTGGGGTTGTCCCCTTCTCCCCGTGACAGCCATCCTCCACCCCAGCTCCCAGGGTGTCCTGGTGGGTGTAGGGAGACCCTACCCGTGGTGGAGTGGCTGTTCATCCTACCCAGCTTCTACTGCTGGGACATCTCTGCTCAGGGCTGGGAGAAGAGATCAACCAAAGACCATCAGGTTGCACGTTCCCACCACCCCAGGGTGTGCAAGATCTGGGCAAGGAAGAGTTTGGGGAGGGGGGGGTCCACACCTCTGGCAAGGCGCGGGGCAGCTCTTACCTGCACTGGGGGTGACTCCATCACAAACTCCCCAGTGGGGCTCTGCTCCGCCAGTGCCACCAACGACAGCCGGACCAGGCTCCTGAGGATGTGCTGGTGGGGCTGGGGTTGCCCAGGTCCCCCAGCACCCACAGGCTGGTTGGGTGATAGTGGGGTCTCTCCCACGGGCCCCTGCGGTGGCTTCACCAAGCTCTTGCAGTGCGGTGGTGCATCTGGGGGGCTCGCAGCCTCTTTCACCAGGTGTTTTGGTCTGTGGGGCTGGCAGGGCCGGCGCTGCAGGATGGGCAGGTTCAAGGTCCCCTGCTGCTCATCTGAGTCTTTTTGGGTCCTCTGATTTCTCAGGGTCCTGTAGAGAGTGGGGGTGAGGTGGAGGGGAGACTGTGGGGAGCCCCCCGGCGCAGGGGCAGCTGTGCTGGGCAGATCTTCCTGGCAGGGATGGGGGTGCTCAGCCTCCCGGGGCCGGCCCCGGAGCAGCGGGACAAGGTGGATATCTGTCTTCTGGATCTGCCTGTGCGGCTTCTTGAGCTGTTGCTGCCTGCGGGCAATCCTCTGCCTCCCTACAGTTGTAGGCCATGCCGTCCTTCTTCTCCTTCTTCCGCAAAGACAGGGTTAAAGCTAAAAGGAGAAGACAGCCACCCAGGAGAGCAGCCAGGCAGATAACGACCACCATGGACGGGCTCAGCCACCCAGGATGCTGGGCTGAGATTTTGGAGAACGCTCCGTGATGCCGGAAAACTAAGCAGACCCGGGCCAGGGTGTGCAGGGGGATGTCCCCCTCGTCACTCACCCGGACCACCAGCTCCTGCTCGCTGCCAGCGAGGCTGCTGGCATTGCTGGCGTTGAGAAAGACCTGCCCCAAGAGAGGGTCCAGGATGAAGAGCCCAGCATCATCCCCACCCACCAGATCATACCGGAGAGCCCCATTGATGCCAGAGTCCTCATCCCTGGCCGTGATGGTGAAGAGGAAGGGAGCGCTGGCACAGGACACGAGTGTTGCATTGGTCACCACTGCAGTCCCTTGGGTGCTCCCATTCCCGGGAACCACCCAGAAGCACCCCGTCTCCACATTGACCAGGACAGAGAGCATGGCTGCACCTCCCACCAGCACCGGCGTGGTGATGACGGGTGCGTTGTCATTCCGGTCGAGCACAGCCAGCCTGATGGAGACGTTGGACGTCAGCTTGGGGTGACCACCATCCTCCGCGGTCACCAGGAACTCCAGGCTCCTCACCTGCTCATAATCAAAAGCTTGGAGCACAAAAACATCCCCAGTGGTGGGGTCGATTGAGACCAGACCCAAAGCAGAGGAGTCCAGGATGCTGTAGGTGATTTTACCATTTAAACCCAGGTCGGGGTCGGTGGCACGGATGGTGAGCAAGAAGGCAGGTGCTTCACTGTTCTCAGCAACAGCAACCTCATAGGTGGCCTTCTCGAAGGAGGGGGCGTTGTCGTTGACGTCGCTGATGCAGATAGTGAGGTGCTTCAGCACGGCGAGGGAGAAGTCACCCTGGTCCCGCACCACCAGCGTCAGGTTGTACTCGGCACGCAGCTCCCTGTCCAGCGTAGCGTTGGTCATCAGCACGTAGCTGTGGCTGTTGGTCCTCTTCAGCCTGAAATGCTCGTACCCTTGGCTGAGGGAGCAATGCACTTGCCCGTTGCTTCCCGAGTCGGGGTCACTGGCCGTCACCAGAGCCACAAAGCTGTCTTTGGGAAGGGCTTCGGAGAGCACAGGCACCCGCGTGGCCCAGGTGACATGGACGTCGGGAGCGTTGTCATTGACGTCCAGGACTTTGACCAGGATCTTGCAATGTGCTGGGATTGGGTTAGCACCCAGGTCCCGGGCTTGCACATCCAGCTCGTAGGCGTGGGTTTCCTCGTAGTCCAGTGGATGCTTCAGGATGATGCTGCCTGTGCGGGTGTCGATGCCAAAAGCGCTCAGCACCTCTGGGGGTGCGTGCTTGCTCAGGCTGTACTCGATCTCCCCATTGGGACCCTGGTCGGGGTCCGTGGCTGTGACCGTCACGAGGAGGGTCCCGGGCAGAGCATCTTCCCGAACCTCGACCGTCAAAGAGCTCTCGGCAAAGACAGGGCTGTTATCGTTGGAGTCGAGGACAATGACTTTAATTGAAGCGGTACCTGATTTTGGCGGCTCCCCATTATCAGTGGCTGTCAGCACGAGGTCAAAGGAGGAGTGCAGCTCCCGGTCCACTTCTTTAACCACGACGAGCTCCGCATGCCTCGTCCCATCGGAGCTGGAGACGACCTCCAGAGCAAAGTGCTCGCTGGGGGAAAGGGCGTAGGAGCAGCGGGCGTTGGGGCCAGCATCGGCATCCAGGGCTCGATCCAGTGGGATCCGTGTCCGCAGGGATGCGCTCTCCGACATCTCCAGCTCCAGCTCGGGCGTGGGGAACTGCGGCGCGTTGTCGTTGACATCCAGCACTTGAACCTCCACATGAATCAGAGCCAGGTTTCGGGCAGCCAGCACATCAAACGAGACCCAGCAGGGATCGCTGTGCCGGCACAGCTGCTCCCTGTCCACCCGCCCGGCCGTGCTGAGCATCCCATCCCCGCTCCCCACATGCAGCGGGAACCTCCCGGGGGTCTCCATCAGCTGGAAGGTATCCGCTGTTTCACCGCTCTCACCCCCCTCAAAGTGCTCGGCCAGAGTCCCTATCACCGTTCCCGGTGGCACTTCTTCGAACACCCGGTATTGCACCGTGAACGTGGCCACCTCCTGGGCATCGGCAGAGAGGAAGAGGTACCACCACAAGGCTGGGAGATGAAGAGCGGAGCGGCTCAGCAGCAGCATGCTGCTGGCAAAGCCCAGTGCCCCGCTGCCCCGGCACGCTGCCACGGGCTTGCCTGCCTGTCGCCGCATACCTAAACAGTCCTTACGGCGATCGTGAGTCCTCAGCATCCTCTCCTATCTCCAAGTCCCATAAGCGCCAGCCACCAGTTGGAAAGGAGAAGAAATCATGAGCGAGTCCCACAGTTCTCCCCCACCCTGCCATCACTGGGGGACAGCCAGGAGAGCCAGCAGCTCCCCAGGCTGAAACGCTCAGCCCGGAGCAGAGAGGACCACCACCGCTGCAGCTTCAGCTGGGGAGCAGCGTCCGGCCGGCCGGGCCGTGGACCAGCCGTGTTTCCTATGGAAACCCCACCTACAGGAAAAGGGAGGACCGGGCTGGTACAATGCCTGGGCAGGGTGGGGGCTTGTGGGGCAGCCCGCTTCCCAGCTGGGAGAGAGGTGTGGAAGTGTCCTCAGTTTCCAACCTGCAGGGACCATCACCGCTGTCTGCTGTCACCCACAAAACGTGTTTTACAGAAGGCACGGTTCCTGCAGACAGTCCCTAACCCACCTGCAAAGCCCCACGTGTGCTTCAGGAAGACGTCTGCAAGGACCAGCGATGATGGACTTCTGCTCTTGCATTAACCCAAAGACTTGTTCCCCACGCTGTCAGATCTCTGGCTTACTTCACTTTACTTTCATTTTGTCTATATCCAGCGTGTAATCCCTCCCTCCTTGCTCGCTCTGCCTTTTGTTGTCGGTTTTGAGAGCGATGCGCCCGTGTCACCTTTTCCAGCATATGGCTTTTGATTATGTCACTGCTTCAGTTTCATTTGGATTATGTCACTGCTTCGTTTTCATCTGGACACACCAAAATGGGCTAATGAATCACTGGGAGCGTTGCCACATCAAACACAGGCAGGCGGGCACAAGGGAAGAAAGGAGGTGCTGGCAGATGTGAGCTGTGTCCTGTCCAGCCTCTCCCCACCTCCTACGTCCGTCTGTCCTGGCCAGCTCCCCCCATCTTGGCCCATGCTCCATCCCCAACTCGGTTCCGCTTTGATTTCCCCAGCGTCACTCCTCACCCAGCACTGATTTTGCACCACCAAATCCCTTTTTTACCTTATTTCAGCATCTTACCCCGAGCCCCTTGCTTTGAGCAGCCCACCTGAGGCTGGACAGCCGTACCACCCACGCGCGTGTGCGTGCATCGGCAGCACAGCCTAAAGTTGTTTCATACATTCCTCCTAAGCAGGCAGCTGGTTGCCTGCAGAGCCCCAGTTACCCCAAACTGGGCTGTACTTTGGGTCTCAAGGTGATTGAAGGCATTCGGGACAGGGAAGGTCACTGCAGAAGTTTCCTTGGCCGTTACAGAGCACAGAACATCCTCATGGTGTGGTTTGAGTCCCACCAGCCACACCATCTTTGTCTTGGCCCCCACATCTACCCTGCGGCTGCCATTGGTGTCCCATGCCCACCTTGCTCCTCTCCTCCTGCTTTTCCAGCCTTGACGGGCACCCTCATACCCCCATCCTACTCCCATCCCTCCCTGCTCCGATTTTCCCAGTTGAGGTTCCCCATCCTTGCTCTCATCACTTTTCTTTATTATGGTAAATTTTAACGCCACAATGAATGGCAAAAGCAGAACCACCCCAGTGTCGACCGGCCGTTTGGCCCCGGGTGGGGTAGTGCCACCCCTTAGCACGAAAAAAAGGGACGGTGCAGTTTGGCCGTGGCGGGGATGGCTGGAGACCCAGTGCTATTCCTGGGCTCAGCCTCAGCTCCAGGTGACCTTTGCCAAGTCATTTCCCTGCTTTGTGCTCTGGCTTCCTCCTCAGCCGAGCAAAGCCAACCCGCGGGCTCACCCGGAGGGATGCTCTC